TAATTGTTAAGAATTTATTTATGCAAATGTTTTATTACTAAGTGATTAATGTGATTGTTCGCAATAATAGAATTTAAGTTAAAAGTTTCTCAGAAGTTTTTAACAAAAAAATTACGATATTAAAGAACTATCAAATCTATTGCATGACAATCGACCTCATGTTTAAATTGATAGTTTATACATTACCGGAACACTTTTACATGATATCGCCATTGCTTATTCAATGTAATTCAACGGTAAGGTAATCTTTGATTATTTAATTCATTATTTAATTTGACATTTGCTAATTGCTTTGGTCGGTTATATAATAGGAATAAATATTAAAATTTATTAACACATTAGGTTCTACTCAAGAATGCAACAAAAAATCATTACACGGAACTATACAAAGAATTAATTGTAAACGTATACAAGATTCCAAAAAGTGATTATCACTTGTCAGCATTAATTAAAGATATAGGTAGCTGGCATACGGTGATTTTGTCACAATTTTATCCTTGCGATGAATTTTTCAAATACATGAATGATAAAAATCTTGTCCAGAGCCGATGCCAAAGCCATCCCACCTCAAACAACGATCTTGACCAGAGCCGAAGACAGAGCCAAAGCTATCCTACCAGAAGAGCTAGAGTAATTCAAGTTGACAGTAGGTCAACAGATCGAAAAGACGGCTAAGCAGTGATGCATTAGCAAGCGACGATCACATGGGTGATCCCGGTTCCGGCAAGAGAATCCTGTATATGCAAGGGGAAGATAAGTAGAAATTTAATGAAATTACCAATTCAGGAGTTTACGGCGCGAATACTAATATAACCAAATTTAGCAGGGAACGTATGACAATGACAGATATAAAAGAACGGGGGCAGTACGACAGCAGCTTCAAGTGGCAAATCAATTTCGCATCAGAATACAAGAGCTGATATGCGGATATGCCAAACATCTCTATCAGTTACAATTACATGAATTCCTAAGCCAATGCTACTGTTACAAGTCCTCTATATCTGCCCTACATGCCGCCGCAACTACTTAATAATCCCAACATGAAAGAAGATCACCAAGAAACAACTGAGAAAACCTTCTATAGTTAAGAAGAGAATCGGTTTCACAATACGATGTGGATGCTACTTATTGTAACGAAGGGTCCTTGCACTGACATTTCAGCCGCGGAGCCCATAACCTATTCAGCAAAGGTCCATGAGCTACTACGGTAGCCATAGAGCCTGTAAACACGGTCCTTGCACTGCTACTACAGCCGCGGAGCCAACCTTTAAGGTTTTCACACTGCTACTTCAGCCACAGAGCTTAGTCACTACAAAAATAAGGTTTCGCACCAACACCGCAGTCGTGGATCCTAATGACTAAAGTCTTTGCACTGCTACTGCAGCATCGGAGCCTAATCCTACAAAAAAAAAAAAGTTCTTGCACTGCTGTTGCAGCCGCAGAGCTTAATAGATTCAAACAAGAGCAGAACAAGCCTTTGTATTACCCGACGTTACTCACCAATATACCTTGTCTTACCAGTCGACCAACAAGCATTTAAATAAATCGCGATTGAACCATATGAAA